GAGAGGGCATCTTCGGTACCGACCATCTCCTTTACGGTACTGACAAAAAAAACAAAAAAAAATTCTGTTAAGATACCGTACATTCAGTCGCAAAGACTGAACAAAATGGCGGACACTCCGCTCTTTATAGGCCATAAGGGGGAGGGGGAGTGGAGCTTCCCGCCAAAAACCATTAGCTATCAATCTTCCGGCCAAAGGCACTGCGCAGGCGCAGTACCCATATGTGTGACTGCACAGATGGCCACTCGAAGAACTTCAGTTACAGGTAAGCAACCTGCTTTTTTGAGCAATAAATAATAGATCACAGTAACATTAAACAGAAACTTAACTACAATAAATATATAGTGTTTTTGTTGTTGTCATGTGCCTATTGGGAGTCAATGCCAAAACAGGCTACAGGGTTTTTTTGCTATCTTTCTACTAGTAAGCAACTTTTAAAGGTCAACTTTTGGCCTCTAATCTCATTTGTTGGTGAAGGTGTTTTAGCTAGTTTTGTGCTGTTTAATTCTGATTACTTCTGTGTTTTCAACTGTGTGTATCTTGATTTGTTTTTATGTTTTCATCAAAATTCTGTTTTTGTTGTTAGCATTTTTGAGCACCATTTTTGGTAGGAAAATTATATATAAATTTAATAATAAATACCTTTTATATTTTTTTCTTTTATGTACAGGAAATTGATATAGTCCTTTCCCTACACAGGATGTGGTAGGAAAAAGTAGGGCCTTCCAATGGAGTATTGCCATAATAGCCTCAGAAGGGAATTTTAGAAATAGTTGTCTGCATTTTCAGATGGAGAAGATGAGTAGATTTGTTTTGCCACTGACAGAGAAATAACAGATATTCTGAAGGCATTACTATTTGGTAATGCCTACGGAACACCTTGCTGAATGAGTCTAAAGACCTATCTAGCCCAGCATCTCATTTCTCAGTCCCTTTACGTTAGGGAAACCTCCAAGCAGGGCATGAATGTAGTAGTTCTCTCCTGCTCTTTTGCAATAACTGATATTTAGAGGCATGTTTCCTCTGATTCAGGAGTTAGTGTGAAACTGTTATGACTAGTAACCATGGATAGCACTATTCTCTATTTATTTGTCTTATCCCCCTTTAAAGCCACCTAAATTTGTAGCCATCACTATATTTTTGTGATAGCAAATTTCCCAGTTTGACTTGAAAATGGATTTATTTTTTTCTGTCCTGAAATTCCCACCAAGGCAAGGAAAATAGCAAGGCAAGGAGTAATGGGGATAAAAAAGGAAAGATGAGAAAGAAGACTATTCTGATGTTTCCCAAGGATTCTTTATTTTGATGACAAAAAATTGAGAACTCTGTGGATAATTTTGGAGGTTCCTGTTGGCAACATGTTGAGGATCCCAAATTTAGGGTATCTAGAAATTTTACTTCTGTAACCAGAACATACATTTACCCAGTCTGTCTGAGCATACTTGAAGTTATCTTTTACTTGAGTAGTGTTTTCTTTGCATGTCTCCTTGATTTCATTCTCTGTTTCAAGATTCCCATGAGCATATTGATCACAGGGACAATAAATGGTAACCAGTTCTTAAAGTACTCCAGGGTTTGGTTTACTATCTCACAACAATTCTGTAAAAGAGTCTTGTCCATTTGTGATTCCTAGTTAATTTGACTTTATGCCCTTTTTGAACTATAGTCTGACACTACTTCCTGTATACCTTTCCTGTATAGAGGTTGTGTCCAGAGACACCATACCTTCTCAATCTTCTCTATTACACAAAGTTTCTGTTTTGTGCACTGCATTTTAGACTTCCTTTTAAACAAAGTGCCTCCAGCTGCCACATAGTGATTCATATGCTTCTAGCATATACAAACCTGTATGAGGTATCTTTCCCCAAACGTCTCTGACATGTATGTCGACTAGCTGTTCTGTTCTACTGATACACTCATTGTTCTGGTGCTCCCCTGTCCCCATTTGGACAATCAAAAACATTTCACCCATATGCCCTTGGAATGATTCATCCTGAACTGTTACTCCCCAATTCCTGTTCCCTTTTCCGCAGGCTGCTCTGAAACATTTTCAAATATTAAGCATGAATTCCTTTTTTCTACTGGACTTCAAATGGGACCTGTCACAGAATGTTCCCCAGTACCTAATGAATCCTACTACCCTCAATACCATCTTGTCTATGGATTGTGAGCCTCAGCTTTACCTGTCTAGCTTGTCCTGAGAAGGGAATAGTGAGCACTTCAGAGGCAGCTAACCTTGATGTTCTAGATTTCAATGGAATCCTCTTAAACCAGGAATGGAGAATGTTGTAGGGCTTCTACCCATCATCCCTAATCAGCATAACCAAAGAGAGGGATGGAGGGAGTTGCAGTCCTGCAGGACCTGGAAGGCCGCATGTTTTCTATCCCTGTCTTAAACACTTGCCATTTTGAGGCCAGATGAATTGGTGTGAAACAAATTATGTTTAGACATTTATTTTTTACCAGGCACTGAAGTAAGTAGATAAAAACACTTTGTTTTTTACATGTTGAGCCTTTCACTGCTACCTGCAATCTTGTTGTCGTAACATTAATGAAAATACTAATTCAGTAATTGCTAATTAAGATAACAGGATTAACATGAAGACTTGCACAAGAGCTTTCATACCGATAAGAAAAAAGGAAAACAAAGTGAGTATTATGGCGAGGGCAAGAATAGAATTGCCGGTTTCGTTGTAGTGCAAGTGTGTAGGTTGTGTTATTTGCTTTTACAGTGTGTTGGGGTTGGAAAAAATCTACGTTGTTATCTCTAGACAGAGGAAAAAATCAGGATTATTATAATTGCTAATAACTTCCCTTATACCTCATCTTACTTACAATGTCAGAAAGCAGTATGGCTATGGTAAATCCTAATCCCATTAGCAGCAACTTTTCTTGGTTTATGGGGAACTGTTCAGAAACTGTGCACTCAGTGTGCACAGCAGTGCATTGTTTTGAAAGTCCATGGTATTAAATAAAATTCAGTATTGAATTGAGCCCAAAATTGTGCATTGAGCCCACAGTTCAAAAGGAAATATGCCCTTTTTGCTCTAAGTAATCAACTATTTTGTCCACAGTTTTCAAGTCCTCTGTGATATTACAGAAATTCTGCTAGTGACAGGGCTATACCTTTTTTTCTTTTTTATATATTTTATTAAAATTTTTAAACTAACAGTAAAAAAAAACAAAGCATCAAATATCACAAACATTGGATTCACTGGGTCAACCTCCTACTGCATATTTTTTAACATTCTAATATCAAATTCCAATTAATTTATCATAGTTTGAAAAACATCTCTAAATTTACGCCAAATTCCGTTTCTCCAGCCAATTATAAAAAGAGTCCCAAGTTCGATAGAAATCAGTATCCTCTTTTTTCTTCAATGATAAAGTCAGTCTATCCATTTCTGCACAGTCCAAGATCTTTCTTAGAATCAATCCATCGGTGGGCAGCTCCTCACTTTTCCAATATTGAGCAAATGCAATCCTTGCCACTGTAATTAGATGCAACATCAAATAGATTTCCTGTCTGTTAACATCTTCCGGTATAATGCCTAACAAGAAAACTTCGGGTTTAAAAGCAAAGGATTTTTGTAATATTTCCTCCATCCATCTATGTATTTTAATCCAGTACTTTTTTGCGTTGTCACAAGTCTACCACATATAATAAAAAGTACCCACTTTATGTTTACATTTCCAACATCTGTTTGACATATTTGGAAACATCTTAGCTAGTTGACTTGGTGACAAATACCGTCTATAAAACATTTTATATAAATTTTCTTTATACGAAGTTGCTAAAGTTACTTTAATGTTTCTTTCCCATAGTTTTTGCCACCTTCCTAGTTCAACATTAAATCCATATTTAATGGATTTGTGCCCATATTTTGTGCCCATATTATCATCGTTTCCTTAACCTGTTCTCCTTCCATTTTCCTGTCTGGGCTATACCTTTTGATATACACAAGACCCACCTTATAAAGGTGGGTCACACAACTCTGTGTGAAGAAAAATACAAGTTCACTGTGTTATCAGAGAAATGCAAAGCCAAAGGAGAGGCATAATGAGTGAAGCACAGAAAAGCAAAAAGGAAAGCTGAGTAGGATGTGTGCTTGAGGAGGTGCAGGGTATGACTCACAGGATGCAAATTAGCAAATAGGAGCAATCCTGGATTGTTGTCATGATGAGTCTTCAGTCTAGCTTTATAATAATGTACTAAGGGGTTTGAAAATGGAAGAGGCAGCAAATGGATCTTCAAGTGCTGATAAACTGAACAGATGGAATCCTCAGAAAAGGATGTTAATACAACCAACTTTCTATTTCCACATATTCAGTTAATACTTAAGTGGATTGGCAGGAAAGACCCATGCCAATATTTCTGTTGGCCAAACTGCATACAATCACATGTTTGACAATAGTGAGAAATGAGCCCTTCTCATGAACAAATCTTGCATACAATAGGGAACTTCAGTCAAGTAGTGTGCTCAAGTGCATGGAGAAGCCATATGCATGTAAGTCCTCAGCTGACTCTGGAGCTGCTAGGCAGTGTGGCCAGCAAGTACATAGTCCAGGAAATGACATATGACTCCTTAAGTTTCAAGATATCAGGAGTGAAGCCAAGCATGAAATCTTGAAAGAGGATCTCCTTTGGGTATTGTGGGCAGTCACATTGACTGGAAATAATACATGTTATTGGCTGTGGCATAGATACACCTCTGTTGGTGAGATAGGCAAGATGAGAAGTCCAAGAAGGTAGGCAGCCTTCCTTTGGTTCAGCTAGATGTCTTCTGAAGCAATACTTGTCAGTCAGGAAAATAATTTGATTTAAGAAAACCAAAGAGCTTCTTTTGCGAATCTGTAATAAACAGAATTGGATTTGCTTTAATAAGATCAAATGAGTTTGGTTAAAAGCATCTTTCTGCATTTTACCTTAGACCTTGTGCTGAAGCATTTGTGAATTTAACATCATTAGATTTGCTGGTGAATTCTATAAAAGGTAAAGGTAACGTTTCCCCTTGACATTAAAGTCCAATCTTGCCTGACTCTAGGGGGTGGTGCTCATCTCTGTTTCTTAGCTGAAGGAGCCAGCATTTGGCCATAGACATTCTCCGTGGTCATGTGGCCGGCATGACTAAACACCGAAGTGCACGGAACGCTGTTACAGGCCCACCGAAGTGGTACCTTTTTATCTACTTGCATTTGCATGCTTTCGAACTGCAAGGTTGGCAGGAGCTGGGATGGAGCAACGGGAACTCACCCTGTTGTGCAGATTCGAACCAGCGAGCTTTCGATCAACCAGCACAGCAGTTTAAACCACTGTGCCACCTGCATCCTGATGGTGAATTCTATAAAACCCACTATTTTCAGAGCTGAACCTTTGTGGCTGCATTTTCAACTAGATTCCATCCCATCTAGGGTTTGATCTGAAATGCATATTTTGGAATTCCTCTGGGTAGCTGTGGTGGTAGCTAGAAGCCTGCCTGTAGGTTATACTGAACAGTGATGATTTCATTGCCATGCCTTGGGACCTGGGTACATACCCTATTATAGTTTCAGGGTCCAGATGAAGGATCTTAGTACCATCAGCCAAATTTGTTTTACTTATCAGAGGTGGATGTGGGTGGTTGGAGTGACCAGAAGAATTTTATGGTCCAAAGGCTGCAAAGGGGTCTTCATCTCTGGATACACTTTGTATGTGTGGTGTGTTGGGGGAAGATGGAATTATGGGAACATAGTTTCTTTTGGCACACTAGTGCAATGTAAAAGCAGGAAGTAACTGATAATCCCTTCCCAAGGTTAGCTTAATTAGAATTTGCTGAACTCATTGCAAATTTATAGTTAAAACTTAGAGAACTCCTTTTCAGTGTCTGTCCTGCTTAACCCCCCCCCCCCCAAACTCAGAATGAACTGCATTTTTATTAGGACAGTGTAAAAGGTATTCATTAATCAGCGGCTAAATTGCATAATGATAAGGTAACTGTTTCCAAATTCCCACAATCAAGAAATTTATGTAATCAATGAAATAGTCACTTTAAAACACAAAACAATTAAGCAAAGACTCATGGGAAAGGCTTGCTTTGAAGGTCATGTATTGTTGCATTTGTTTTAGTCAGTGATAAATAGGGCAGGGAATGTTAAACATAGTCGGGAAAAGTTAAATGCTAGGATAATTATATGCAATCAAAAAGGACATTTACAAGACACAGTTGGCAGATAAAATGGAGTCTTAGCATGGTTTACATTTCTGTAAAGAAAACCTAGAATGTATTCACAGATACTCAGTGCATCAGAAATAGATTTCATGAATTTTTAATAACCTCTGCACTGGGTTCTGATACCAGCTGATCCAGAATTAGCTGTGTGGCAGTAGAGATGCTCTGTGTACCCACAGCCAAAGCATGAAAAAGCACTTTTAAAAATAGAACATTAGGTGCACGTTCCATAGGAAAAACTCACTTTCTCCCATTATAGAGTCCTTTCCAGCTAACCCTCTATTATGTTGTATAGCTTGCTTAAAATTCGGTATGGTTCTGGCTATTTATGCATGTTTCCATTTTCTGCACTGTGGGTATGTATGAAAGTATCTGACTTTAAGCATTCGTTTTACTGAGAAATGATATTAAATATTTGGATCATCTATATTTTAACTGGATTCAGTATTAAAGCACTTTGGTGCAAGTTTTTCTTCACAGAAAATAGTCCCCAGTTGAGTTATTTTAAAATCCTTGTGAAGGTTCTTGAAAGACTGTGGTAAAAATTAATCTTTCCCCACTATGCTCTTGTTCCATACATTTCCAAAATGAAATCCTTTCTTATGGTAACTGAGTTCATTGAGAGTACCTTTAAGAGAGAGATAAGAGATTTTTTTATAGTTGATACAAACTGTTTCTCCTAGGGTCCTGGGTTCTGATGTCATTCCATTACCACATATTTATGGAGCGAGAATGAAAGGAGTTGAGGTTTTCTGCCCACTTGATCCCCCGCCTCCTTATGAAACTGTAGTGAGCCAGATGAGTCATGAGCAGGTACTGTTTACTGAATTCCACCAGCTTAATTGCTTTCACAGTCACCCAGGATAAACTATGTTATACTTCAGATTTGCTTTGCTTTTAGTAAGGCCAACTATATTTAGGTTTTAATATCAATTGAACTTGGTGAAACAGGAATGAAAAGTGCTTAACTTAATTTGGATTATATAATCTCTAGCAGAAACTTCCTAAATATGACTGTTGCAGTTAAAGCTTGCACTCATATTACCCTCAGCTTTTAAGTAAACTTGCTGGTTATCTGATCTTCCAAATCTGAAGAATGTATTTAATTAGATACTTTTAATTTGAACATTTCATATTTTTGTACTTGGGGTTGAGTTTATACAACTCATTCTAATAATAAAGATACTGGGTTTTTAATAAGGTAATTTAGACCCTTCTTTGCCTAGTTTCTTATAAACCCTTTCAAACATGACTCACGAATAATATGCTTGATGCTTCTTGGAGAAATGAGCTGTTAAATTGTTTTCTTTGTTAGAAAATTAGTTATTTTCCATTATGTATAAATCTTACAGAGTATGAAAGTGTCTAACTTTCTATTATTTTCCTATTAATAATTTGAATTCTGTTAATTCTCTGTTTAGGAAGGTGCATTTCAGTTTGCAGATGTTGCAGGAGTTGTGAATGCCCCACCAGAACAAAATATATCTGAAGGTAAGGATTACTTTTTAAAGTGTTTTACTAGGCTTAATGATGAAATACAAAGGAATATGAACTTTTATTTTGCTAACTGAAACAAACTCTTTTTTAAAACATCTCTTTAATACGTTTCTCACTACTTTTTACTTTATTGTAGCATCCACTTTATTTCTTCCTTTTGTGTGTGTGCATGTGTGTTGTCTGAGACATTTTATTTTGTTAGAACAATTGCTCATAGTTTTACAAAATAGCAGAGATGTACGTCCTGCAGAGGTTTGCATCTGGAATCCCACAGGAGGAAAAACAGTTTTAAGGATGGCTAACAATTTTGATAGGAAAAACAACCTGAAAACAGGTTCATTCCCTGGAATTTCTAGACTGGGCTAGAAAAGACTCTGGGCAGGTTTTTACACCACACTAACCCACCCTTTGATTAACCAGTGGGGGCATCCAGCAGACAGCTGGGCTCACTAACCTTTTGCAGTCTTGGAGCTGAGAACCACTAACACCTCCAGAGTGGCCAGCTGGCCCATTGGATTGTCTGTTACTGGTTCACCACTCCCTTTCTTCAATTGCAAGAAATGTGTGCATTTTTTTAAAAAAATTAAAAGTTTAGCCAGACTTACACAAGTGTACAACTATAAAACTTCTCAAATGCTTAAAAATGCTAAAATGTGTCACTCTTTGAGAGTCTGAGAAATGCATTTGTCTTGAATGGTATGCAGCTGTGTCTGTCCACTAGCAAAATGGACATCTGATGAAACCAAAACTGCTCCAGAGAACTGTAACACACTAGGTGTTGTGGGACACAAGAGGAGAAGAAAAATCTCATTGCCTGAACGGAAGTCCATTTGCTTGGAATTAGATGTCACTTCTTCTGCCTAAAATATAGAAATTAAATTGTCAGACAAAGCACCCACTGAAAAGGTGCTTTCTCTGTTGCGCTTCAGATGCCCCACAGTCTCAGTGGACAGGCAGATTGATACAGGTATTAAGTGGGCCAACAGTTATTTGTGTCGTAAGTGGCTTGAGCCAGCCAAGTAGATCCAATACAGGAAAGGTATGATTTCTTTGCCTGCCCCTATGAGCAACCTAAGCATATTGTTCTAGTCTACTTGTAGTTTTTTAAATATTTTCAGTGTCAGCCCACCATAAGGCATGTTGCAATAATCCTATCTAGAAAATACCTCGTAAGCTGTTTAGTAGGGTAGCTACCAAAGGGGAACTGAAGTTGAATGTGTGGTTGGGATTTGAATTTTGGTTTAAATGCAGCCCTGTATCCATTATATTTGTAGTTGGGGACCTCCAGCCTGTGAACATAATCGTACCTGTGAAGGATTTCCATCTGCCCTGTGAAGGCCTGTGCTGTACCCTTGTGATTTCTTGCCACTCCCTGTCTCAAGTGGGAGGCCCAGTAGGGAAATTAACAGCCCCTTGAAGGGCTTCACATCTTTTCTTTCTTCCTCTTGCTCTGTCCTGAAGAGTAAGATTAATGCTACTTCCTACCACCCCCCTGCCCACATTGAAAAAAAAAAAGAATTTGGATAGTCGTTAAAAGCTTTCCTAACTATCCACCTCATCCCCTTTTTTATTCCTTATCCCAACAGTCCTCCCTCCCAAAAAACCCTGCTGACAGCACAATGATTTAGATGCCTACTCAGCCCTCCGTCACATTTATTTCAGTGGTGTTTACTCCTGAGTGAGGAGTGTTCCGAACAAGACAAGAAGCCATCTATTTAAGACATAACAACAGTGGTTGCACTGGAAATGGGTTCATTGTTTCTGTGTTGGTTTCAGAGGGGGCTGGATTTTTTTTTGGTGGAGGGAAAGAAGCTACTGTGTTTTTACACATGCACTCACACACTCTTTAGTTAAATTAATGTGGACCTTTCCTGCTTTGTAAAAAAAAAACCCCGAAACCCCCAAGGCATCAGGGCTCATCTTATATTCCATTGCTAACAGAGTGCAAGCACTGTGAAGCAATATGTGGTACAAATTCATGCTACCAAATGACACAACTCTGCTTATATGACCTTTCAAACTCCTCCTGCAATTACAAGGTATGGCACTTTCTCACATTACAAATATAGCAGTTACTGACCTGATCTATATTCATTAACCTGTGCCCACTGAGCAGCAATTGCATTTAGAAAAAATGCTGGCATGGTGGTATCTCACAGACAAAAGGAACTGCTGTGTAGATCCTCCCTGGTTTCAGTATAATTATATTTTCTTGTGTAGGAACAGTGTTTTCCAAAATAATCACTTTAGACGTTGTTTTGTTCAGGTATTAACACACACAACAGTCTAAAAGGTATCTAGCAAAATGTCTTTTGTTCATTACAGTAATGTTAACCTAATCTTCACTTGATTTCAAAGTGCCTATCAAATCATTTTATCATGCTGAGGAGCCTACATTGCATAAACTGTAGTGGTTTAGTGTGTGTGTGTAGGCACTTACTCATTCACTCACTCTGAAATCATGAACCATGTTTTTCCTATATATGCCTACAAGTGACACATACACTTCTCATATTTCATATCCATTACTTTATAATTGATGTAGATTTTTTTACATTCCCCCAAACTGGCCATCAGCATTCAATTAGAATTATTTTGCTGCTCCATACTCAATGTGAGTAGAACATAGCAAGCAGAATTGGCTATGTCTTTTCAGCAGAATTTAGCGATATAGTTCAAAAATATGAAAGTATAACTTCAGACAAATGTAAAAAATAGTTTGCATGTGAAGGATATATGCAGGTTTTACTAGGGCATGCCAGTGAATAAGCAATGGATTTTGAGTTGTATGTAGAATAAATTAATGGTGGTACTGTATAGAAATAATATTTTATCAAAGAAAGGCTGGCTCCAGGAACCTTGATGTGGTGACATAATGTTTACTGCTCTGTATCACTAGATGGACAAGAACAGACAGACATAGACTAGGGCTGACTCATACTATCTTTCTGGTAGTATAATGCTAATATAATTAGAAACGTGGGAGAAAAAAAAAGCAGCATGTTTAGGACAAGCTGAATGGCTATTTGGCAGTGCTTGGCAACGGTATTGATTACCTAACTGTGGAGTTGCTGGATGATGCTAAATCTGTTTGTTTCTGACACAGACTCTGAAATCTGGCTTTCTTATGGAAGGAAGTGACCCAGGGAGAGGAAAGGGCTTTTAACTAGATTTAATTTATACTGGAATAGTAATAACTTTCCTGAACATGAATTGCTACTCTCCTATTGAGTGTCCTTTGAAAACAACAGATAAAGATATTAGTAGAAGGCATTATCAATTCAAGATGTTGACCTTGAAAGCAAATAGAATTTTGCAGACCAAGTGCCTTTTTGTTTACAATTATACTGAAAAATCCAACTGCTTATTTTAATAGGTAGTTAAAATAATTGCATATGTGCTTGGTTCTAAAGCCTGTTTTGCCACTTTGTTATCATTACTAGAAGAGTAAACTCAGCTTTTTCTTACTGTTCACAAAGTTTGCTAAAACATGTTTGGCAGATAAGTAGTTTTAAATTCTTTTGGAATGGTTTTATAATATTTCCTTCAGTCTTTTTGAATTAATTGTTTTGTTTATGGCCCATGCTCCTTGACTTCAGTGATATATAGTATCAGTGTAATAGCACTGATTGATTGATACTTATGTAATAGAGTTTGAATAATCTTTCAGAGTAGATTAACTTTCTAAGGAAGTTTACAGTAGTCAATAAAACAGTATAATAAGTTCAAATAAAAGCAACATTAAATGTTTAAGAGAAGATTATTCACACAGAAAAAGCATGAAAGCCATGCGTAAATCAATATATATGATAAAAGCACTCAAGTAAAAATAATGTCAGCAAATAGGAACATTAATATAGTGGCAGGAGATAAAAACAGTTACACAATTATAATAGAATAATAGAATAGATTTTATAATATAAAATCCAACTGGAATGAAAAGTTCTTTAGTGCCCGCCTAAAGGCTAGTAAAGAATATAATAAATAAATGATTCTGTGTAGGCCAAGTATGGAGACATGGGGCAAGAGCTGAATGGGTCCCATAAAAAATCTGGAGCATACACACCTGCTATGTCCTCCCCATTTTGTCTTGCATTCCCTGATTCCTCATATCACTGTATTACCGTTGGAAAATACTCTTGGCATACACATTCCTTTTCATTTGATTTCTTTGTTTCATTTCTACTATATTTTAGGGCAAGCTCTTGCAAGGGTTTACAATAAAAAATTTAAAAGCAATGCAACAATAGACTAATATATAATAAAATAGCACCATGTAAAGATATACCTAGAGAACCACCAATAAAATTCCTAAATAAGTTGATGGAATAAGAGCATTTTTAAAGCCTGCTTAGATTACAAAAGAAGGGACCGTACACAGTTGTCAGACGAAAAGAGATGGAAAACACAAAGGAAAAGAGGAAAACACAAATGCCTAAGAAGAATTCTGCTGGATTAGACCAAAACTCTGTCTAAACCAGCATTTCATTTGCTTGGGTGATTAACCAAATGCCTGTAAGCAGGACATGTCCGCAGTAGCACATTCTTACTTGTGTGCCACTTCAACTGGTATACAGATCCAGTATGTAGCCACTGGTAGTTTTACACCCCATGAATTTAAGCCTTTTAAAAAAATTAAATACTATCTTATTGTGTCGGAGAGCCAGTGTGGTGGCTCATTCAAGGCTTTAAAGATGAATGCCTCCTTTTCAAATTGAGCTTGGAAATGGTTTGGAGTAACACTGAAAAATGAGTAAAAGGTATGGAATACAATCAAACCATCCAACTTTCCCAAGCATTCTGGTGGCTGAATTTTGCATTGGTGCAGCTTTAGAACTGTCTTTTTAAAACTGATCTTCAAAAGTATATTAACACTCTTTTGTTTTGTTTTGTTTCTGGGGTCTTCTCAAAAACATTGGCCCTCTGTAAATGTCAACAATAATTGCTGTGGTTTTAAATAAGTGTTTTCTTATTTATGTGTAGAGGATTGGGAT